GTGGGCAGGTCATGCAGCACGAACGGAGGAGACGAGGAATGCGTATAGGATATTGGTGGGAAAGCCAGAAGGAAAGAGACCACAGGGAAGACCAAGGCGTAGGTGGGTTGACAATATTAGAATGGATCTTAGAGAGATAGGATGGGATGGTATGGATTGGATAAATCTGGCTCAGGATAGGGACCAGTGGAGGGCTCTTGTGAACACGGTGATGAACCTTCGGGTTCCATGAAATGCTGGGAAATTCTTGAGTAGCTGCAGAATTGGTGGCTCCTCAAGATTTAGAAATCGTCCAATGCACAGGAGGCATTTGGTTCGAAGGCCGGGGTTTTCGTGGTTTTATACATTCTCTCCACTCGGAGTCCATGAATAGCAGCTTCATGTAGGCCACGTTCACATCCTTCAAAATCTGAAGATACTCGTGACCATATTCTCATTTCATTATCACTACAGTTACACCTACACCATTTTGTAACCCGCTAACCAACTGCAGCCGGCCGGTCACGGTAGCCGAGCGGTCTAAGGCACGTACTGTCTTCGCTCACTTGGAAACCGGGATCGTGGGTTCGAATCCCACTCAGAGCATGGATGTTTAGTTTGTGTGTGTGCCTTTTTCTGTGTTTGTGTACAGATAGAGGCCTTACGACGGGCTGATCACCCGCCCAAGGAGTCCTACCGAATGTGTAAGATCTAGAAAAACCGAAGTGAACGGAGAAGTTCATGGAGGTAGGCCTAGGCCCACTGGGGCTGTAGTGCCAAGGAAAAAAAAAATCAACTGTCTCATGAAAATCAAAATAACATAACCTGTGTATATGACACAATGGCCTTTAATAGTCCGAAAATAAGTATTACCCCGAACCCAACGACACTTCAAGAAAACTTCCTGTATTATACTGAACACAAATGGAACCACACTTCAAAAAGAAAGTTCCTCATACATATTTTTAATATGTACTGTTAAAGTGAAGAACTGAAAACAAAGAACTGACTTCTGATTGAAACAGAAGGAACAACCATAACTATAAATTCAGAAAGTGTATAAATAGGATTATACGAGCTGCCTAAAAAGAAAAACTGTTCTCATGCAATGATGTTCTGTGGCTTTGCCAAACCTTTATAATGTGCTTTTAGTGCCAGAGATAAGAGTACAGATTAGAAATTACAGACGAAGAAAATTGTTGCCCATGCGTAAAGTAGTAATAATTTGAAGAAAGCAGTCTTCTGGGATTTGGCACCGTGTATATGTGGTGTTAACCGACGTTTCGGAGGAACGTATCGCCCCCATCTTCAGGGTAGAAGAAAAAGTATAAGAATTCTGCAAGCGACAACACCGTGAGAAACGGTAAAGCAGTCTGCTTTACCGTTTCTCACGGTGTTGTCGCTTGCAGAATTCTTATACTTTTTCTTCTACCCTGAAGATGGGGGCGATACGTTCCTCCGAAACGTCGGTTAACACCACATATACACGGTGCCAAATCCCAGAAGACTGCTTTCTTCATAGTCACCGCCGTGAAAGCCTCAAATCTTACATAGTAATAATTTTCTTGACTTCTCTTGATCCGAAGAACTCATTTATTTACATTTTAAAATACCTAAAAAAACTAATCACTTTGTGTGTGTTACTCATGTGTACTTGTTTCAACACGTCAATACTTCCAAACGGGGAAGAACCGAATTTCCACATTCAGGCCTGTTGAAGCTTCTCTAAGGTATGCCGTATAAGGGCATGCATCAAGACATGTAACAGCCAAGACATATGTCTGCGACATGACGCAAAGAAAGGAGCACAGTTGAAACGAATTAGATTATGTAAACCGCCGCACACCGGTCTGAGTCATGATGCTGACTGCGTCTTTTGTCCCATGTCTTGATGCAGTTGGTGTGCGGGCGCCCTAAAAAATGCGGCCTACAACTACGTTTCACTGCTAACAGTGCGAGTAACGATAACAAACAGAGGCGCAGTGACTGCATCTTTCATTCGGAAGGTACCCGATTCGAATTCAGCCTGGGGGCAGGTAAATTCCTGTATAGTGCCTTCAAACGTGCGACTACCGCTCCTGCTGTTTTTCTCTGTTCACTAATCGCTGACACCTTACCATAACTAGTTTCACGCTGTGTAACTGAGCAGGTGATGTAAGTGATACAAAAACGAAAACAAAATTCCGTGGCTTTAGTCCGCAAGCGAACTACACCGACCGAGCGACCGCCGCTTGTCGGCGAAGTTAGTGCCAACATTTGCGGATAGAGGGTGTCGCGTGGTCAGCGCAACGAATTCCCAAGGCCGTTAATTTCGGTTTTATAGACCGGGGCCGCTATTTCCTTGAAACAGCTCCTCAGTTATCCTCACGAGGCTGAGTGGACCCCGTTCCAAACCCACTACTTCTCAGAAAATTTGGTAGCGCCGGGAATCGAACCCGGGACATCTGGATCTGTAGGCAGGAACTCTGGACCACTAAATCATAGAGGCGATCATATAAGTGATACAGTGTCGTAAAATAACCTAATCAGATGATACCTTAACGAGTGTGCGATAAGCAGTCAATGAAACTGCATCTGCTTCACATTTTCCTGCAACAGACGTATAGCGATAACCGACTGTTTCTGATAAGACAGCAGCTAAAGATAACCGAAATTTAAAGTTCAGTGGCACGCACTTTCAGTGGGCATGTCACGTGAGCTGCAGATTAGAGAATTCGCAGTACCTGCTGTTTGTTCTGCCTTTACAGTCCTCGCTGAGTTTTTCCCGCTGAGAGACGCCGGCAAAGCATTTCTCGGTATAGCCAACTACACTAGGGTTCCGATCGGTATATTTAGAACTCAGCAATGTGGAGCTTCTGTACTGGTGGACACTTGTGTACCAGAACGTGAAAAAATCCTAATGTGACGCGTAATCACCTATACTCTTCACCTTGTAAATCAAGAAAGGTAACACGGGAACAGTGCGATGCTCTGGGTGGTGGTAACACCGTGTACTTCAGAGAAGACCGATGTTTCGAAGGGACATATTACCTCTATCTTCAAGGGCGAAGAGCAGGCAAAACTAGAAACCAGCAGAAGCAGATTGCAAAGTTTGTTCCTTGCTTGGCCTACTGGTTGATCCTGAAGATGGAGAAAATATGTTCCAGTGAAATATACAACCTCTTTATTTGACCGTCACAACACAGCAAATATAGAACTTCAAGGACAATGCTCAGTTATAGTTCTGCTAGCTAAGCATCTCTTATTAAAATATATATTAGCGTTGCAGTTCAATAGCTTTAGTTTTGTGTTCATGTATTTATATATATATGCATCTAGCTTGACAAGCAGAACTATAGCTGAGCATTGTCCTTCAAGTTCTATAGCAGAACTATAACTGAGCATTGTCCTTCAAGTTCTATAGCAGAACTATAACTGAGCATTGTCCTTGAAGATCTATAGCAGAACTATAACTGAGCATTGTCCCTGAAGTTCTATATTTGCTGTGTTGTGACGGTCAGATAAAGAGGTTGTATATATTGTAACACGGCAGGATGCACGAAATTAAAATTCCACTGAAATGTCCACTTTTCTTAAACTACACGGTGTAACAGTCCAGAAAAAACTTAAACCCTTCACCGTCACCGCTTAGAGAACCTCAGAACCAACATGACATCAGATGGGATGAAACAAGAGCTGCATTCAGTTTTATTATGAAGGCTCCAGTATGGAAATCACTTTGGAGATAAAAGTATAGAATTGAAAATATCGGCCAGCAGAACACTTATACAAGATATTCATAGATCCCGCTCCGAAACACGATTCGCGGTAAGAGAAGTTTCATGTTACCGACACTACAAATCTACAGAGATCCCTAGCAAGAAACACCAGTGTCTCGAAACCCGATGCCCAAATCTAACATGTAGCGGGTTAATTATATAGTGTGTGGTACATCTTCCCGAGTACGTTACGCTGTGAGCGGGCAACTTTACGGACGATAAATTCGATGCTTTCAACATTTCCGATAAGGCGATTTAGGGTTCCAGTTGTATGCTGAAGAGTGATATAGTAGATGTTTTGGACACAGTACAGTAAAAACAAATAAGCAACTAATGGTATCAAACTGAAAGTGCGCTGTGAACGCTAAACAAGTGAGTGAACGCTTGGTGTGTTGGTGGGTGGTATGATGAAGATACGGACCGTACAGTCGGAATTTCATTCTTACGAAAACAGTACTACCCAAACGTATACAAATTCCGGTAAGATGTACACCGTGCTAGAATGAGGTTAGAATTCAGGCATAATGTGATACGTTTTTTTATTGCTAGTGGGGTGGGACCAAGTCCCTTGTACTGCGGCCACTTCTGGCCTATTGTACTTGCCCCAGATGATAGGTGTGGGTGATTGTGGTTCAATTGGTGGAATGAAGATTGGCAGGGAAAACCGAAGTACTTGGAGAAAACCTGCCCCAGCGCCACTTTGTCCACCACAAATCCCACTTGATCAGACCCGGGATCGAACCGGGCCGCCGCGGTGGGAAGCCAGCGACTAACCGCTTGAGCTATTGCGAGGCCGTTTAATGTGATGTTAATGGTATTATGAAACGATAAGTAAACCAGAAAATTAATTACAAACTTAAATGTTCAAGACTACGACTCCGAGCACATGTGTCGGTACGCCAAACGTACGGCGGAGTGAATGAATGCTCTGTGAACACACTTGATTGAGTGTTACAGGTGAAGGATCTACTGCAGCACACATAACATTACTCGAACCTGCCTCACGGGGAGACTGCGCTATTTACGAATTATAACACGCAGCCAACACATCAGCTTATCCTGTCTCGGTAACGGACACACAGAACAGTAAAATGGAGAAGCCTAGCTCGCAGACACATAAACAGTTCAGTCTACACGGGCACACCTATCAACTGGTAACAGGGATATGACTGCAGTGAGAGGGTGGCTCTGTGGCCATGGGACCGGAACACGGTGCAATTAACAATTAGTACGACTACAAATACATGGAATTTTAATACTCACCTTCTTTGTTTTGGAGGAGGTGCTGTCCCTGGAGACGATGAGGTATTTTACAAAGACAAAACAACACCGTCTTGCATGTCTTTTGTAGTTCCAAATGCTCTTTAGCAAATATTGGAACTAAAACACATTCAACACCGACACAAAACGCACTTCGTAACATATGAACACATAAGAACACAAATCGCGTGCGGAGCGAGCGATTACACAGTACATCAATGGCTGCTATCTTTATTGTAGAATTAATTTCTTGTCCACGCACTACGGTCATGAATTATTAAGTGTCAGTGAGTTCGTTATTTATATGATACGGTCACTTAATAACACTTCGCACAAACTACTGCCATAAGAGAGCTCTAAAAATGCAATTCCTCTGATTTTACACTCATATAACTGGTCGTTCACTATTCCTCCTGAAATCTGAGCCCGTGCCCATCATGTTATATTCACTGCGTAGTAATGGAGGCGTGTTAATTAGGGCACAATGGTGTAATTACACGCTAAGACTGCTGTTATTCATGAATGGCAGTAGCACAGAAGTCTAAGAAGAACCACGATAAGTCGATCCGTGCAGTAGGCCCGGATATATCACTGCCAGCTGCTCGCCACGACCGCTAAAACTTCACAACGTCTTTCGAACATTTCTCTTACACACGCATGCAGAGACATTGTTTGGGCTGCGACTGGCTTATACTGGACCCTCACTCGTAGAACAGATTAACAACCTTACCATTGATTGCCGCATTTGATCACACACACATATACTGCATTCGACTTGTACCAGACGTGACGTTTAATGCCACTACGGAAGAAAGTTCCTGGAATTGAAGTTACATGGCAGGAATTTTCTAAAGAAACCGATTGGCCATTACAAAAACGTGATTTTTTTAGCACAAGAATATGCATGTGTTTAGTTAATAATAATTGAAAAATAAATTTGTACACATAAAGAAACCCCCATCTCGTGTGCCGCACCTTGGCCCCATGATGTGTGATATTTGCAGGTTAATCCATCTGCCTTCCACGTGGAACACCGTTGAGTCCTCTTGTCTGTGTGCACGTGTGTATCGTCGGGCTGTGTTTGTAATAAGTTGATCCCTGGGCTCGTGGCTTGTATATATGAAACAAACCAGGCTTAACACACACGTTTCTAATCCACCGTTCCCCTTCCAACATGTATACATTAGCTAACGTAGCTGGCAAGGAAGAACTGGTTCAGAGTACTTCGTTCTGGAGGCTGTAGAAACCCAAGAAATTTCTGTTTTAACAAGTATGTATATACAGCCTCAAGGGCCCCGAATGTATGTTCTACAAGCTTCTTGTTGGCGGAGGGAAGTTTTATCCTTCTTTAAGGGGGGGGGGGAGCAGCAAACCTGGGATAGATTCTGTCCAAAGTGATAACGACTTATGGGTTATATTATCGTTACGTACAACTAAATAAGTAGTCGCTGCGAAATAACAAATTACACTCCTACATTTTATTTCCTCACTTCGCTCCGCGCTGCTTTCTTCACAATTGTGGCTAATTGTGTCACGATTATGCCCGAGTTTGTATGTTCATTTCTTTATCCATGATCCCGTAATCAGGATATATGGTACTGGAACGGAGAACCCTCAAGTGCATGTCTAAGGCGCGTACGCAACTACGGCAAATGGCCGCCCGTCTGCAGGTTCCGGTAAAAAAAACTTCGATTTTCGAGAAAAAGAAAATAAACTAAATATTAATAATAATATGTGGTGACCTAGAACACTGGAATATCATTTCACGCGATATCTGCAAAATAAAAGATTTGTTTAATTTCGTAAAGTCGAAGCTGGAGATTGCCCTGTGATGGATAGTAGTACATCGTGACGGTTAACAGGTGATACTTAACAAACAACCCGTTCCGAGGCCAAGCTCGATCACCGACCAACTGACGGACTTGAAGAAGATCGTGCCCACTGCGGTGTTGGCCCCTCCTTGGTTCCCTCACTCCACCTTCTCGTATAGACAGCAACACGCCACACGGTTCTTATTTTCACAGTCGTGTTCTCCTACTCCACTGCCACTATTACTACCTCCACTTACGCACGCACTGAACGCGCGAGAGCTGGACACTGTGCAGTGTACCGGCGGTAACTTCGTCGTCGCGGTTGATTGGTTGGCCTGAGAGCCGACACCAGCCAAGCGAGCCTCGCGGCGGGAAAGGCCCAACTATCCCGCCTTTTCCACCTCTGCGTATCCGTTTTTGGAACACCCATTCAAAACACACGAAAACCCTTTCCTTTCTCTCCGTAATTCTTTCTCACCCCTTTGTAGCCGTCTACTTTTTTTTACTCACCTATAAATAAAAAACATTAAAACCCGAAACCCCAAAATTATAACATTACATGAATATAGCCACCAATTTGTTTCACCTTTTCCTTTTCGAACGAAAAGTCTTAATATGGCAGAGATTAATAGCCTGACATACCAGATAATTATGTGGTCACTGGTTCGAGAAAACCACGGTTTAAGCCCACAAACACGACTGTTATTTCTAAAATTCAGCTCAAGAAATCGTCATACATGTTCATATGCCAGACATATTGGGCAGAAAGTGCTCACCCAACTGTCACAGAGGATTCCGAGATAACCGAATATCTCGATTAACTCTGATAGGATATGCTATTATTAAGGATCTTGTAACAGAGACATCAGAACTGTGTTTGTTTTGTCATTGCAAGTTTCATATTAATAATCCCCTTGAGATCCCCTGGTCACAACCTGGCTCGTTAAAATGTTCCGTTGTGTAGTAAACCATGGAGCTTAACGCCTCTTCCCAGTGAAGAAGTCCCACTAATTTGTTGGCGAATTGGTCACGAGATGAACAATCTCAAGGCTAAACAGGCCTATACAACAAACTGTAACTTGATTCTCTTTCTTTATTCATTGTCACTTTCTCAGGTTCGAAACCTGTGTAGAGTGCTGGCATATCTCGGTCGGCAAAATGGCTAATCTACGGGTTGGAGAACCGAGAACTCGCAATTCGATTTTCGGCAGAGGCAAACACATTTCTCTCTTCTCCACAGCGTCTAGACGGAATCTAGGCCCTATTCAATGCAAATCTGTACTGGAGGCTAAATTACAGAGGGTAAAGCGGCCGAGGCGTGAAGCTCGCCGTTCAATCTAGTGCTGAATTTAAAAATGTGTACAGATGTATCTACATTCCCCATACGTCTTCAAGGCTTGGTGCTTAATTAAGCACAGGTGCATCTTAGTCTTGAAAGTTATGTGCAGTCACATGGTACTGTGACAATATAAAATACAAATGAATGTTCGTGGTGTTACTATACGGGCATTTGTTTGGAGGGACCACAGGGTAGGCAGTCTCTGATCTGAGATTCTAACCTGGGAAATTTCGAATATGACGCAGGCCTACTAACTACTACACCGCCATCTTATGTACCTAGAGTGGGGGCGGGGGGGTATACTGGACATTGCGAAGATGCGTATAGGATATTGGTGGGAAAGCCGGAAGGAAACAGACCACAGGGACGACCAAGGCGTAGGTGGGTGGACAATATTAGAATGGATCTTATAGAGATAGGATGGGATAGGATGGATTGGATAGATCTGGCTCAGGATAGGAACAAGTGGAGGGCTCTTGTGAACATGTTAATGAACCTTCGGGTTCCATAAAATGCTGGGAAATTCTTGAGTAGCTGCAGAATTGGCGGCTCCTCCAGAAGGGCTCAGCTCCATGTGTAAGTAAGTAAGTAAGTAAGTATATACCGGGCTATGCTTGGGGAAGAACTGAAGAAATGGGACAAATGCTCATATATTTGTGACTCAAATGCGATTATTTAAAGTACGAGTACATAAATGTCACACATTTTTTGTTGTGCAGTGTAAATGTCACGATATCAGGCCAGTTTAATCCTAAATCCCGACGTAAAGAGAAACAATAAATGCTATTAACATTTTAGTAGAGACGCTATTTTTTCTAGATAGTATACAAAAATTCGGGGTACTCGGTAGCGTAGTTGTCTGAGGCACTATGCTACAATCAGGTATGTCGGGGGTTCGAGTCCCGATGAGGTGGATTTTTTTCAACTTACCTAATCCTTCCAGCCCTATACAGCCCGGGGGGCGACTCGGCCCCTAACAGAAACGAGTACCTGGAATTTTCCTGGGGGGTAAAGGACGGCCGGAGCGTAAGGCTGACAACCTTACCGCCATCTGTGAACCGATTGTCTAGATAATGTGGGACCCTCAACGTCTCACAACCCTATGGGCCTCCACAACCTGTTACAGGGATACCTTTACTTCTTTTGTACCTCTGTTATCACCCTCTTGTATGTTTCTCGTATTTGCTTTCCTCGTTATTTTCTTTCTTTTTTGCACACATCCGTCTTCAGTCTGGTCCATTATTTGTTCCTTCGTTGAAGTGTCCAGTTGAGAACAGACACAAGACTCAAGACGCTTTTTGCGTGGCGTACGAGGTCTTCTGCGTGCGCGATACCGCCGTTTCGTTAGGGCTGCCGTTAATGCTGATATCACGATGAGCCTAGTGTTGACGGTCTTCTGCAAAGCCTCCTGTAATCGTTGGCATCCCTGGAAGTAATTATCTCTTTACACTAAAAGCTTCGAACGAGGCTTTCGCGTGAACATTATCGTTTCATGATCTCAAGGAAGACTCCCAATGAACGAAGGCCATTGAAGACGACTGCCACTGTTGCCGTTTTGAACTAAGCTGTGCTGTGAGAATTCGAAATCTGATGAAGTTAAGGCTTGGACTAGTCTCCGGAAAGAAATTATATCTAGCCAGAAGCACATCTTTATAAAACCAAAAATACTCCGCGGCCTGTAGTCCGCAAGCGAACTATACTGGCCGAGCTACCGCCGCTTGCCGGCGAAGTTAGTGCCAACTTTTGCGAATAGAGAGTGTCGCGTGGTCAGCGCAGCGGATATCACGGTCATTAATCTCGGTTTTCTAGACCGGAACCACTATTTCCTTGAAATAGCTCAACAAATATCCTCAAGAGGCTGAATGGACCCCGATCCAGACCCACTACTTCTAATAAAATCAAGTACCATCGGGAATCGAACCCGGGACCTCTGAATCTGTAGCTAGGAACTCTACTAGACCACAGAGGCGGTCCCTTACAACGTATATTCTCAATTTTTCAGACGACCCACAAAATACAAGTGCAGTTGTTAGATTCTTGTTTCTTTTCAAGAATCCTCCCAACAACGCTCAGCAGTAGGTACGTTGGGTTTCTTTGTTAAATTCGTGTTAATATACGTGTACGTATATATCAGCATAATTAAATCCAAATGTTATCTGTTGGTGTCAGGGAAAGAATTGTTATGTATTCAGCAAGAGAAAGCCTAGTTATTTATCTAATTCTCTGAAAACATTTTTTTTTTTTGTTTATAGGATTTGGACCTATTGTTCGCGCAGTATATTTATAGATAACAGATTTATCAACACCATACTTATCTGTTACTGAGTGCATAGAAACGCCCACTTTATGTTTGCTTTCTTGAAGCCTTGTTCATCCAGCCTTCTTTACCCTGTTAGCTCTGAATGCTATTACAGTCCCTGAGAACGTTGCGTATATTTAGAAGAAGGCTCGAAATTATCCATTTCACTGCCTCCATTTCAGGATCGACGTCCAGCTGATTACACAGTGTTATATCCCTGAAGAGAGAGCACTTCATAACAACCGTTGTGAGAACCTCATATCTTACATGGTGTGATCCACTTATTTATAATAACTAACGTTCAGTTTTTACATGTGTGTTTTATTAATGTTTGACGAAGAGGAAATATTGCCAATGCTACGTTATGTTCTAACGACGCTGTCAATATCAGGACTATTTAGTTTCAATCAGAGGACATGGGGTAGCTGGTGGAATAAGAATTGGCAGTACTCTGAGAAAACCTACCCCAGTACCACTTTTCCTACCACAAATCTCACTGGAATCAAACCCGGGCCACAGCGTTCGGAACTCCGTGACTAAGCGCTTGAGATATGGGAGAACCATTTCAATATATTGCCGCGTGGTTCCTAGGCAGCGTGACAAGAAATTGTGTGGGTTTCGGATTTGAACGTATATTTATTGGACAGTCATTTTATTCACAACTTATAACGTCGTCGGACGTTTCCTCTTCAATGTTACGACACTCACACCGCGATTCTCGGTGAAGTGTCTTCTGCTCTGTTCTCTTGCCGAATACCAACTCTACTTTCTAAGGTCAAATACAAACTTAACTACAACTCTGAGTCTGAGTCTCAGTCTGAGCCTGATACTGAGGCCGAGACTGAGTCTCATTTTACGACTGGCGGTCAGTCGGCCAGTCTATCTTGGCATCAAGCACCCATCTGGGGGCTTGCGACCAGATCTTTATTACTGTTTGACAGTTATGGTCTTGTTTTTTTTTGGGGGGGGGGCTCCCTCTCTGACGAGAGGACGGGTCTGTTTTTTTATGCTGCTGGTTCTTGCCAGTGCAGTCTTTCTCGGGTCCGAGACCCTTGGTACTCGAGACCATATATTGCCATATATTGTCGTACTGTCTCAAATTTGAGACTTCCCTTTTTGTCGCCTCCTACGATTCGCAGGGTCACGGTGGAGGTATACGAACCCGCCTCCACACGGGCCTCTTTACTTAACTACTCTCTTATCGCAGTTACACTTTTATAAATTGCATTCGGACTGAATAGGGAATACCATGTCGAAGAATTAACCTCGCCCCCTGCTATCCAAACGCTGCTCCAAACAGCTCGTTGCTTGGATATTGCCAGCAGTTGTTCTAGTTCCTAGGCGTTTCGGCGGGAACGCTGGTCGTTGCCTAGGAAATCAATTCTGATCTCCTCAACCATTTCGGATTTCTGGCAGCACGCCACAATAAATGTCCAGATACATATCTGTAAATTTTACATAACACCAAGATACAATAGGAAAGAAACAGTCAAACGTTGACATGTTGCATGAACGTAAGTTCCGTCACGAACGAGCGAGCAGTCTGTTTCACTGTATCGTGTTTATATTGGGTGAGTACTGAGGGTATGGCAAGTGTGGCTTACAATATAAAGGAAACTGTTTACGTGCATGT